AATTATGACCTCAAAGAATTATGGGGTTCTTTACATTTCGTATGCTATGGGGCTTAAAAAGACTTTGTCGGGTGTCACATGTAAAGTCATATTCTGATTTGAACCAAACCAAAATTGGCTGTTTGTTTGTTTTTTGCTGAAAACCTGGTAAACACCACTGACTAGCATGCATTTGTTATCAAGAGTTGTTTCGGCATTACTGATGCAAAGGAATGTTAAAACTAAGCTCCTGAATTCTCTAATGCTGAATGAGAAGAGTATTTATAAGGTATCTCTGCCTAAATCTCATCCATTTTGCTCAGGGAGGAGCAAATATTCATTGTTATGTTCATGTACAGCTTTTCATGATTCAACTCAATGCCATTCATGGCATTAAATGTCTTTCAAACTCACACCCTACTGAATAACAAAGCTACCATTGTCCTATGATTTCTGCTTTCCTTGTTATTTTACTACTACTTGAAAGCTGCAGGACTCCTTGACTCCTTGCCAATTGCTGCCCTGTGTTAAACTCCTCCCTCATCTATTTCCTCTTCTAGTCCCTCACAAGGATGAGTCATAAGTCTTAGCTTCACCGATCCAACCCCCTCTACCATACCCTCTCCCCTTTATCTTTTTTTGCCATTTTATTCCACCACTGCCTTTTGGCCTCATTGTTGTCATGGAAACCTCCTGAAATCCAACACATAATTTTCTTTCAAGTGGAAAAACAACGTTGTGCCAGTTCAGGAGAAGTGGTGCTGCAATTTTGTAAGGGACTTATTTCAAGATACTAAAAGAAAAATGTGTGTGGTTTGATTTCCTGTCACATAAAACAGCCTTTAAAGTAACAAAGTTGTTGCTGAAGGGAATTTCCTTTTCTGCTTTGTGAAATTCACATGACAGCAGTGAAAATGTGATTGTATAACATCAGCTGCCTTTGAATCATGCCGTCCTGTTGGGTTTCGGACAAGCAGTTATTCAGAGTCGACAACAGTAACTTTTTGCAACAAACTCAGATCCATGTTTAGGGTAATTACATTACTCTACCTACTATTAAAATCAATCAGCTGACAAAAATTGTAATTGGGTTTATAATTCTGTGTTTTTCTTAGTTTCTGTCTTTGAGAGGCAAGTTTTAAACACACCACAACTAAATATCAGAATCAGAAATACTTTAATAATCCCAGAGGGAAATTACTTTTGTTACACGCTCCAGTTACAGTTTTATATAATATATACACACATTCAACTATACAATATAATAAAGATAAAAAAATAAGAATAAAAAGAGATAAGATATATACACATATAGCTCTTCTGTATATATATCTGTACGTATATCTATGAATCTGTACGTATATCTTATGATGTATGTAAATATGATGTATTTTGTGAAAAAAAAATTGTTACAAGAAGAAACAGTCAAAAGTCTAAAATAATTAATATGGAAATAACGATCAAGCAAGACTTTGAAAAAAACCATTGCGCTGTTGTGTACCTTTTTTGTTTTGTGGTAATGGTGGCTCAGGAGATGTGGGTTTGGGTTGCCAATTTGAATATCCATTCTGTCTGGCTAAGTCATTGTATCCTTGGGCAAGTCACTTTTCCCATCAGGCACATGCGTAACAATTATAAAAAGCCATCATAAGTGAAGCCCTGATTCTTTACAACAGGCAAGAAGAAGTCTGCCTTTTACACTCCTGGAAATAGAGATTTCAATGCTGAATTGAAAGTACAACTGCAATGAAGAGAAATGTGGAGTAGGAGAAGATCCCTGCTCAAGTTAATGCCTAAATTTATATGTAGTCTGTTATGGCAGGCCATATTAACATTTATTAAAAGCACCTATCTCTGTTCATGTTGGTTCATTTGTAGATCAGTTA